TGTACATATATACACCAAAAGAGCCCTCAATAATAACACCGGTAATGTTTACTATTCTACAATACCTTGAACTTGTCTCGGGGTTAAGTCAATCGAGTCTCGGCTTAAGGGATCGAGGGTCCAGGGTTCCGGGGTCTAGGGCTCCGGGTCCGGAGCTCAGAGTCTGAAACCTTGGGCTCAAGCGCCATGTGGCTTGGGGAGGGTTTGATGAATTTAGGGTTTAGGGTTTGAGGATTTAGGGTTTAGGGTTTGAGGACTTTACCCAGCTTCTCTTCCTCGTGGCCGTTGGCGAATCTGTTGCCCAACGCCAATGGCACCGATTCCACGAAACCTTAAACCTCTCAACCCTTAACCGATACCCCGTGCACATACGTTTTAACATGTGAAGCAATGCATGTTGGAGGGCTTTTCAAAGCCTGCCCGGCTTCGGGCTCATAGTGGCAACTTCATGTTCGATCAGGATCATTCTGCTTACACGAAGCCTGCAAGACTAATAGTGCCCAATGAAAGGCACCAGGAAGATGCGATGCCGAATCCGACTCACTGACCCCCAGCGGACGGGCCTAGAGTTTAGAACTCTAGGGTGTGGCGTGTGGAAGTGTAGGGCCTAGAATCTGCCAGGAAACTGTGTGCAAGAGGCTGCAAAACCATGGATGGCCAGCACCGGGGGTGGTGAGTCGGCAGCTGGAGGTCGCGAGGGAGCCTCCAGAACCACTAAAACTCCGTCTGTATCCAGACTCAATACCTCAAACATCATTAAACTACAGCCGCATGCGCAATGGTAGTACACTGGGGTTAGTTGCATTCTAGTAGGTGGCCCCGAACACTTGCTCTGATGTTCAGTTTATACTCAAGACACTTCCAAGAAGCACAGGAAAGAAGTTTGCCATGCGGTGATTCCTTACAGAAACCCATACACCCTCAACCTTAAAGGCTGGCCCTGAGCCCTGAACCTCAAATGCTGAACCCCAAGCCCTAAACCCTGAAGCCCACTCTCCGAAAGTTAGCTGCAAGGTTGGAGTTCAGCATGAATCCATTTTACTCGATTTGGGACGTGGGCATGTAAGGGCTTCCGCATGAAATAGGGTTTTGGGTTTACGGTAACTTGGGTTTACAATGGGCAGAGCCTTTCGGTAGGACCTGCACCATGTGGGTGTAAATGAGGGTGCTACCCCGAAGCTGTAATGCTGGAGGCCTGAAACCTTCAACCCGAAGCCACAAGAGTGGGCCTTGCTGGTGCCAAGCAATATATGGACACTAGCATTGTCACAGGGATCCGACAAAAAGCGGCTAGATGATTTGGAGCATTCCCTGAGGCCACTGCGATGTATCTGCAGAGATAGCCGCGCCAACGAAAGAACTTGACCTTTGTGACAAGTCTTTGCGGAAGCAACCGAGAACTAAACGCTATGCACTTCCGCTTCTCTTTGGGCCCCTTTAGGGCTACCTGCAATTTTTGACCTAAGGCCTAAACCCTGAACCCCAAACCCTGCATCCCAAAACCTTGTCTGAGACTATTAAAGCCCTACAATCTAAATCAAGCAGCCCTGCAAACCCCCACCGTGACAATGCCTGGTGTCCCGATCAAGTACACCTGCGATAAAACTCCACCAGTGCTGAAGTTGATCAAACCCAAGCATCTAAAAGTCATCCCTGCATCCACCCTTGGCCCGGTATAAAACCGGCAAACGGACATACGCTAAAGGATGGACACATGAATTCACATCGCTTAGCCCTGAACCCCATGGAAACCTCGTAAAACCGAAGCCCTACACCGCCTACACCGCTAAGAACACTAAACCCTAAACCCGAAGCCAGACACCCCTAAGAACCCCCAGGAACCCCCAAAACCCGAACCCAGAAGACTCCAAAAGAACACCGAAGGAAAAAGGGGCCGCCTGAAGCCTGAACATTAAACCCTTACAGAACCCTTTAGAGGAACCGTAAAGAACCCCCTAAAATACCCATAGAGGAACCCGTAATGTAAGCTACCAGCAACCGAAGTGCTACTACAACCTCAGACACGGGATGGCTTCAAGGGCAGATGGTCTGCTGAATCCTTTTTGAGTGCTGAGGGTTTTGGGCAGGATTTAGTGTTGTGGGTTCACGGTCTAGTGTACTTAAAGGATGTCAGCATACTTGCATTTTGAGAAGTTTGCTTGCCATGTTTGGTTTTGGAATCATAACTAAGGCGCTTTAACAACGACAAGGACCCCATTTAAGCGACGGGCGTCGCTGTGCTCAAAGAGCCTCAGCTGCTTCAGCTCCGAAACTCGCAGACGCATAAGACTAAATACCAATACTATTCCTGTGGGTTCCTTACTTTGGTTTTGGTGTGATATGCAGTACCTCCACAACCCAATTCTAATCATTAACGTCCCCCCATTTTATGGTTTGGAAATGGATGGTCCAGCATCTCGGACTACCAGTTGGGGGGGGCTTTAGATTTATGCGCCAACTCAAGTGTTGGCGTGCAAGCTTCGAGTCATATCACGGGTTTAAGTTTAAATTCTGTTGACATGGGGCAAGGGAATGGACGAAAGGGGTGCCACTCCTGCGAGCCCAAGGAATACGAGCCCAGCCAAAGAGAGTATTGGACCCGTTTTTAAGCAATGAACCCTACATGAACATATTCATTTAATGCCAAGGCATCTGCTACAACAGAACAGTCTCCAAACTTCTCGTTCTCTCTTTGCCTGGAGCTGGCAAGTTTCCAAACACGGGAAACCTACCAACCCGCCCCTCAACACACCCCCCCCTAAAGGCCCTAAATCGCCCTGAAGCCCCGTACACCCCCATGAAGCTCCACAGTCCCCCAAAACGGGGCGCTTTTTTAGAAGATGCCGGGGCTACAGGCTCTCGAAGGATATGCCCCTTGAACCGCAGACTGTTCAGGCTGAGAAGGTTCTGAATGTGCTTGTAAAGCCCTCTCGAACCTCTGTAGAATCCTTCGAAGCCCTAGAGCCCCCCGAATCCTATCGCCTCAACCCACCCTAAACCCTAAACCCTAAACCCTAAAGCCCTTGAGCTCGAAGAGGGCACAAGTCGAGAGGCTTTCCGTCCGAAAGATCAGCCAGGGCCTCTGCTGTTTCTGGGGCACGGCATGAGCTCGGGTCCAAGCGTGGTTAGTTAGTTAGTTAGTTAGTTAGTTAGTTAGTTAGTTAGGGGTTAGGGTTTAGGGTTTAGGGGTTCGTGGGTACTTCGCTAAGTTAGGGTTCCGTTTTGGATCCCCAAAATAGTACGGCACCCTTATAAACAGGACCCTCAACGGGACTTTAATTTAGAGAACTACCCTCATGGTTGGGGGCGCGTTAAACATGAACATGTCTATTCCTTATTGGGTAGGTGTTTCTCGTGCATTGTACATGCAGTCGCAGTGAAGCTACCCAAACTTCACGTGAACTCGGGACATCCGGCCATCCACCACCGAGACTCCGAAACAAGATCATAGCTGGGGTCACCCCATCTTGGGAAGCTTGCACAAAACTTTTGATCGAAACCCGAAAAGGCTAGCCAAAAGCCCCACAGCCTACAAAGCCCTTCACCAATGCTTTCAAGACTGAGAAGATCCCATAGAAAACCAAAGAGCCTAAGTCTCCTTTAAGTGGGTACTCTAAACTCCCTAAGCCTAAACCCCTAAACCCTATACCGTATATCCTAAACCTGCCCTTTGCCGGCTGTGCGCAAGCAGCCGGTGCCACTCATTGGCCTCCAGAGCCTCTCGCAGGAGGGTGTACTGTAGGGGTTAGGGTTTAGGGTTTATTTTTTAGGGTTTAGGCTTATTATTTCGAAGAGGGTTTTGGGGCTTGCGGGCATGGGGCCATGACCTAGGGCATCACTGCGGCTTAGGGTTGAGGGTTCAGAGTATGTAGGTACGATGCATGACACGCCTTCATACATGCATGCGTCCCTCCCTCCGTCCCGTCCATCCATCCACACCTACCTACCTACCTACCTACCTACCTACCTACCTACCTACCTACCTACCTACCTACATGTATACGCACGTGTGTGTGTGTGTGTCTGTACAAACATATGTACACACACACACATACACACAAATTTACTCTATGTGATGTGTGTGTGTGTGCAAGTGAAAGGTGGACTTCTCCATTGCTATCATAGAGGAAGCTCAGAGCCATGGGTCCTTAGCATATTTTGCAAGAGACCACTTCGTTGAGGGTCCATGAAACCCGAAGGTTCACTTACAGAGGTACTATGCCCACGTGAAGAGAAACATATGCGCGACAACCCTATTCAGACATATCGTAACCGTTACCACCCCCATGTCATTCTAGGCGACTTGGGCACTTCGGGAGTCACAGCCTCCAGCGCAGCCCGGCAATCCTTTCAGGCGCAACGGGCTGAGCTTGGGACTGAGGGATAGGCCTTAGGGTTAAGGGGTTCAGGGCTTTGGGGTGACAGGGTGCAGGTCTCGCTCTGTCTTGCTTTCTCGGAAGTCTAGTACAGCCCATGATGCCCTTCGCAGGGCCTCATGATCCTAGCCTATAATAAGGGGTACTGATACAGATCCCTTACACAGTAGCTTAATGCCAGCACCTCGGGAGTTGCTGAGGGGTTTGGCAGGGCGTCGAGCAGTGTTCGGACTGAGTTAGGTGCATAATGTGCGCATTGAAAACTACATAGAAGGCTTCTGGCTTCATCATCGGGTTGAAGAGACATCATGAACAGGAGCCGAAACCCTACAACAACAAGAAACAACTAGCCTGCCAAATATTCACTGTCTGAAACCAAGTTTTCAGCCGCCGACCACTTCGAATGTCCTCAAATCCCTGCGACATCTGTGAAAACCTTCGAAAAGTACGAGCCTCCTCTTCGGCACTGGAGCCCTGAACATCAAACCCGTCAACTCCGAGCCCAGAATCTTTCGAGAGTTCAAGAGCTATTCATAGCACTGGAATAATATACGATGCCATGGTTCAGGATATACCCGAAAACTGCAGTCTAATTGTTGCAACCCCCCCTTTGAATTAGCTCTCCTCTTCCGCGGTGCCCTGACGCAGAGCCGCCGCCGCCGTCCGCATGGAGACACAACCAAGCCACCTGACTGTCTCTGGGTATGGCCAGGGGCTTGCTGCTGCAGCTTAGGAGTTTAGCGTGCAGGGCAGTAGGGCCTCATGAATGTTGCATACTTCTGTGTTGAGAAATGGCGCGATCAGTAAGCCTAGTTTTCATGAGACGCAACGCAAGTGTGCATGTTTGTGTAGCTTCACTCCGTTACACATACATACATTGACATATGCTGATGAGCATTATAGACAACATCTTGACACAGTGCCCGTACATATTAAATAACATATTGCCCTAAACCCTAGAACCTGAACCCTATAGGCCCGATACCCTACAGGTAAAGCGACTGGAAGCTTTAGTAGTTGTTCCAGTACAGATAGCTCGTCGCTGAAGGATCTGGCCCACGGCTATGTTGAGTCTTGCTGGAAGGGGTCGAGGGCGTAATCTCCGGGCCTGAATTATTAGAATAGGGTTCTTCTGGCTCTGATATATACCTCAAGGGTTCATGTACCAAAATAGTATATACCTTGGCCCAAAAACAATCCCTATATAGCCCTATATAGGTACTTTGGGGCCAAAGTATATACTACTTACATGGACTCTAAACCCTAAACTCTTAGGGTAACTATTTCGATATATATGGACCCTTAAGGATAGGGCTCTATGCGGTGTTGGTAAATATCATGCGGTGCCACGGGTTTTGATCGTCTCTCGTGGTTTGCCTGGCTCCGGGGGCTTTTGCTTGCCGTTGCAATCTTTACAAAGGGTGCCGTACTATGTTGGGGACCTAAACCTAAACAGGGACCCTACTTGAGAGAACTACCCAGATGTTGCTGCAGCTTCTCTCGGGATGGCTGCTTCCTTCGAACCCGAAAGGCGTAATTGCTTGGCCAAGGAATGCGCCGTTCATCCCAGCACCTGCTATCGACATGGTTCCTTACACCTCGTTCAAAAGGCCGGCATTTTGCAAAAACCACCCTCACTGGCGGTAGCCCTAACACTCCACGGTAAGGCCCCGGCAGCATCATCTCACTCAAGACGCGGCTGAATACTTCCCCCGGTATCAGGCCCCTGGCAGCAGGGCAGCTCAGGGGCTTTGTTGGAGAATTGCCTTGAAAAGACAAGGACCAAATAAGGTTTGGGATTTCGACATGAAGGGCTTAGGGATGCTTAGGGCTCACATTCTTCGCAATTCACTTGGCTTGACTCCCTGCGCTCTTCCAGAGGGGGCAATGTGCTGTCTGCTCTTCGACAGGACATGCAACGAGCGGGGACGCATCACATCTAGCGCCTTTCTAAAATTGTTCGGACCCCTCCAATTCATCAATATGTTGGTCCCAAAGCCTCCGCAGTTAGAACATGGTGCAGGGGTCTTGAATCTCGGCGTAAGGTGAAACATGTACCTTAAGCCACCGGAACAATCCCCTTTTGCAGGACCCCTATCAACTTCTACAGGACCTCAGCCTCTAGGAAGCCTTGAAGGCCCTACAAAAGAGAAGGTTACTGACGAGTAAGCTACTGACTAAGCTGGGAAGATTACCGTAGTTCTACATGGACTCTTAGAATGCAGCCCGAAAACCGTGCCCTACAAGCGAACGCCACCTTAACCCTAAACCCACCTGTAACCATCCGGCCCTCCCGCCACACGGCGGAAGGCCCACTCCTCCTTCGACTGTGGCACCTCCTGGCAGTCTCAGGGCTCCGGGACTTAGCAACTTAGGGTTTAGGGCTCAATCGGATCGTCCCACAAACCCCCGCCAACATGAAACTCCCCCAGACCTGTTTGAATAAAGCCCCCATCTGGAAGGGACGCAGAAGTTGGGGGTTAAGTTCTGTAGGATGTAAGGTCTAACTGGATTAGTTGAGGATTGATGGTTTAGTTCAGGGATTGAAATTTAAGGTTGTCAATACTTGGAGTCTTGAATCTAGAACTGCGGGCCGTTAACCTTGCGTGCTCTTAACCGTTGCAACCAGGCCGTAAACTCCAAACCTCACCTGGAACCCCGATATATCCTCCAGAAACAGCCAACATACCCCAATGGAAGACTACAGTCACGCCTCGATGCGAGTTACCTCGAGAAGCCCTGCTAAGCCCAAAGCCTTACCCCAAAACGCGGAAACCACTAAAACCTCAAACCCTAGAAACCTAAAATTCCTAAAACGCCCTAATACCCTTAAAACTCTACTTAGGCACTTAAAGGCCTAACCTTCGTAAAGAAGCCCCAAACCCTTTGGGCAACCTTTTGTGGAACCTTCCTAAAACGCCCTAAAAACCCTTGTAGCAACCCTTTAAAGAACCCCCACTCTGATGCAGAGAACTTCGGCGCTCCTCGCGGTCTCGCGCCGCGCCGAAGGCGTCCTCTGCCAAGGCCTCAGGCAAACCCTACTTGGAGGCCCAGGGGCCATGGCAAGTCGGTTAAAGCAGAGATATCATTGGGGTAACTCCATATGGGGTACTTGTGTATCAAGACCTCAAACCTTCTGAAACCACTTGCAACCAGAAGCCCTACAACACCAAAGCATAGAATCAAGCCTTCTGAAACCCTACGGAACACCCAAGAAAAGGCTAGAACAGCACATTCAAGCCCCTAAACCCTAAACCCTAACTAAGCCCCTAAGCCCCTAAACTCTAAACCCTACAAACCCCCTACACCCAAAGCCTCCAAGGTCTGAACATTTAATCCTAAGCCTTAAACCCTAGTTCCTAGACCCCAATTCGTCTGAAGGCCTCGGCCCCTTGGCTGGTGAAGAGGGAGAGAAGCCGCATAGCCTCTGCCTGGTAGGAAGAAACCCAATGAGTTCAGGGTTTAGGGTTTAGGCTTTGGGGTTTAGGGTTTGGGATTTAGGGTCTAGGCCTTGGGATTTGGAGCTTTGGGTTGAGTGTTTGGGGTTTCGGGCTTAGGGTCTAGTGTTTAGAGTTTAGGGTGTAGGGCTTAAGGTTTAGGGTTGTGCGTGGTTTAGGCTGAGGGGTTTGGGGATCTTAATACAATGCCTACTTTTACGCCAAACAAACTGTCCTTTTCAGGACTTATTTGAAAAAGTTTTAACAAGGAGCCCTACACAGGTAGGTTCTTTGGGGTTATTTTTTATTTTTATTTTTGTGTGTGTGTGTGTGTAAAGGCTGGTCTTACAAGGGTTTACCGAATTCTGTATCCGCTAATGGAGTTACGGGTCCCTCAAACACGGGTTCTGCAGAGGTCTTATAGGGCTTCCTACAGTGCTAGGCTTTCACTTACTTTTTGGTATGAAGACGGGAACTCTAAGGGCAAACGGGTACTACTGGGAAAGCTAAATCTCTAACACAAGCTCTTTACAAGCCTGAGGAACCGATATAGAACCCCTCTACAACTTTGAGGGCTTCCAGTCGATTCTCACCAAGGGTTGGGGTGTCGTTTCGGACTTGTGTTAAAGCCCTAAACCCCATAAGCCCAAACCCTAGACCCGGAACCCTAAACCCTAAGCCACTCTGCTGACTTGATGCTTGTGCACCCTGCAGCCTCTGGCCTTCGGGGTCAAGGCTGGTAAGGGCCCTCACCCCCAGAGCATTAGGGGTCGTGTCCTGTTGAAGCGGAGTATTGCAGGTTCCATGTTAGCCGGTTAGCCTGGTAGGGAGAGTAGAGTTGAAAGCTCCACAACCCACCAGGAATCGGAACATAAAACGTTGAAAGATCAACAACCTGTTCTGAAATCCGAACACTACGTTCAATCCCAACCCTGAACCCTAAACTCTAAAACCGTACAGCCCCAAAGCCCTGTGAATCCCAAGATTTGGGGTCGCCTCACTGGCAGTGCTGCTACCCAGGCCCAGGACGTAGCCTTGGCGAACCCGACACTCTTAAGGTTTAGGGTTTAGGGCTTAGGCCCTAAGCATCCCTAAACCCTAAACCCTGAAGCCCTAATCATCCTAATCTCTAGACCTTCGGGTTGACAAGGGTTTGGCAATTCAGAGTAACGCGACTCTAGTAGCTAGGATTTCGGCCTCCAAGGTTTAGGGGCAGGGCGGGTTTATGCATTGAAGCTCTAAGCCCCAAGCCGATTTGGGAGGAGGGTTCAGGCAAGGACTTGAGAGGAACTCCAAACCTAACGCCGAACTCCGCAACAGGCTCGATTAGGTTTCCGCCTGGAGGATCAGCTCGCAGCTTCGCGCCGGGGGAAGCTGGGTTCCGGATAGGTCACGAGAATCTCTGCTGCTTCGGTCCTAGGCCCTAGTTGGGCTTAGAGTTCAGGGTTTGCCTAAACCCTAAACCCTAAACCAGCCAATGCCTAATTTCCCGGAGCCCTGGAACCTTAAATCCTACACCCACCACTCCGAATGCCTGAAGCCCAAACCCTCTCCGAGCTCGCAGCTGACGGAGTGACGCAGAGCCATCTGCTTCTGCAGCATCTCCTGCCGCGGTCTTATAGTGTTTAGGAGCCCGAAAAACCCTAAACCCTAAAAGCCCTAACTAAGCCCTTAGCCATAAAATCCTAAACCCTAAACCCCAAACCCTAACAGCCCTATATCCTAAAACCCTAAACCCTAAAACCCTGCTTGCTACAGGGGCTTAGGACGCGAAATTTAGGCTTCTCGGCGGCTTCTGGGCCTCAGGTCCCAATGACTCCAGGAGTCCGAAAGGAAGGGTTTAGAGTTTAAGGTCCAGGGCTTGGGGTTTAGGTCTAGGGTCTAGGGTTTAGGGTTTAAGGTCTAGGGTTGAGGGTTTCGGGTTTGAGGTTTTGGACTAGGGTTTGGGGTTTCAGAAGGAGATGGAATTGAAGTCAGAAAAGCGCTTCGATGAGGAGTCTTAAAAATAATGGAGTTCCAAACATGCTTAGATGGGGAGTTTTCGAGCTCATCGAATTCGGATCTGCGCAAACCCCAAACCCTAAACCCAAACCCGAATCTACCCGGCTGGGCCGAATTTGGGAAAACTCTTTTTGCGGCCGAAGGCACATCTGAGTGCTGCAACACCTCTCGGCAGCTCTCGGCATCGGGTAAGCCTCCCAGCAAGGCAAAAGGCTGTTCACACTATCCTTACAGTACCGCGATAGTACCCTGAGCATAGAATTGTAGTTCCCTTACAATACCCTGATACTAGTACCCTATCCACAGAACCCCTTCGTAGCACCCTTATAGTACCCCCGCTGTAAAACCCCAAACCCAGAGGATCAGACTTGCAAGCGCAGTGAAGCCCTTGGGCCCCGAGAGCTTCAGCGGTTTGGGCCAGAGCCCTACAGCCAAACCCCTAAACCCCAAAGCCTAAAAACCCTAAACCCCATACCCTAAACCCTAAACCCCAAAGCCTGAACCGTAAACTTTGAGATCTGCATCGCCTTCAAGCGACCAAGACGGCACCGCGACGACGAATCGGGCTTCCAGCTCCTTACATGTGGGTATCAGGGTTTAGCCTCAAGCATAATTTAGGGTTGAGGGTACAAGCTTGCAAGGCTGTGCAAATTTAGGGTTGAGGGTACAAGCTTGCAAGGCTGTGTAGTTGGAGTCGGGCTTGTATGGACACGAAAGGTTCGATACAGGATATCACCATCGCTGACACCACTATGTTTTGAATCTCTGATCCTCTTCTTGTTGCCGCTCCTGCAACTACTATGATGCTGTGGTAAATCTGCTACTACCGCTACTACTTTTCCATCTTCTTCTGTCAAGTCTTGCACTTGGCTGCGGATGGCTACAGAGGCAACAATGACGCACTTGCACGGTCTCTCACCCTTTGAGACGCTTATAACCCCGAAGCCCCGAAACACAAAACACAAAAAACAAGAGGAACAGAGGAGAGAGAGACAACGACCTAGAAATTAGAATGCTGTATTCTCATTCTTGTTGCTACTATATTGTTAGGAATATTAATGCTGTTGTTGCTACTGTTACTGTTGGTGTCACCGTCATTACTCAAACTTTTGGATTGTTACGATTACAATTACCAATGCTATCACTATTGCTATTACGACTGTTTCACTGTTGCTGTTACTATTACTATTACCATTACTATTACTCGAAGTATTATTGCTACCACCATTACCATTATTATTATAAGTATTATTGTTGTTGTTGTGGTTGTGGTTGTTGTCGTTGTTGTCGTTGTTGTTGTTGTTGTTGTTGTTGTTGTTGGTGTGGTTGTGGTTGTTGGTGTTGTTGTTGTTGTTGGTGTAGTTGGTGTTGTTGTTGTTGCTGCTGTTGTTGTCGTTGTTGTAGTTGTTGCTTGAGATTTGTATTCTATTTGCAGCTTTGATTGCATCTGCTTGTAGTTGATTTTGCAAGCTAATTAGTAATGATTGCAGTNNCTACCACTACCACTACTACTACTCCTCCTCCTCCTCCTGCTGCTGCTGCCGCTACTGGGTTCCGGGGCCTTTAGAACACTTATTTGAGCAAGATTGCCAAGCAATCTGGCAATCTTGCCCCACTTGCACCACCTGGGGGGGGAGCAAGATTGCCAGGAATCTTCTTGGTCTAAATAGTAAAGTAGTCAGCGGACAAGTGGGGCAAGTGGGGCAAGATGACCAAGATGATCAAGATTGCGAGATTGCCAGTGGCCGACCAAGATCGCAAGATTAGCAAGATTTACTTTACAATTAACTCCTACCACTACCCCTACTCCTACTCCTACTCCTGCTCCTGCTCCTACTCCGACT